GAGAGAGAGAGAGAGAGAGAGAGAGAGAGAGAGAGAGAGAGAGAGAGAGAGAGAGAGAGAGAGAGAGAGAGAGAGAGAGAGTCTTCTTCTTCCTCCTCTCATTCCACCATCTCTTCCTCACCCTCTCACTATCTGACTTCTCGGCCTCGGCAGACTACGAGAGAGAGAGAGGGTTGGTGACATTTGGATCCAGACTCGACATTGGGCTTTAGACATTTGACGAGGGATTATCTGAGACTTGTACCAAAGACTTGGTGTTAACGACATTCCCATCTTCCCCCTCTTCTTCGTCTGATCTCTTCCTGTTTGTCTGTGTATGGTCTGGACCTGGTGCAGTCTTCCTTTGTGTAGCGCCAGGCCGCTTCACACCTTGTGATGAAGATGATGTAAGTTTGGTCCTCATTGCAACATTGATTGGGCTAGTCATTGGTATTCTACCATTTCGCTACGTTGTCTTGTACTACGCGAGGGAGGTCAGTCCCGGTCAGGTCAGGACTTATATCTAAGTCTTCCACTACACTACAAAGCACCATTTTTGTATGTATCAGGATGTACACTGCTTGTTGAGATTCTACTAGCACTGCATTGTCCATTCAATCCTTTTTATCACATTGCGGATCCTTGGCTATATATGTACATCCCCCAACTGGGCATGTAACAAATGGCCTCCGCCTCTCTCTACCTCCTACACCTCTCCTTCTCGGCCTTGCAGCGCAAGCTAAATAGCGCAGCCTCCAATCAGCAGCGTGTCGCTCAAGAAGTGAGCTGCTCGAACTGTGTCCTGCCCAGCCTCAGCCCAGCTATAAGTAAGGCTGGGCCTGCTGGGCATCCTCAGGTACTGGCCTCAAAACGACCTACTTGGTCTGGGCCCCTACCGGGTATCCAGACCTCGCTGCTGATGCAGCGAGGCGCCAAAACGCGCCTGGCCTCAAAAAGTCCTCGTCCCTGTGAACCTGGCCCGAGGCATCGCCTGGGGCCTGTAAGTCCAAAACGACATCTGCACAGACAAAGATAAGACAAATCGTAAATAAATAAATAAATAAATAATTGAGTGTTGCCTTAGGCTGTGCCTGTGGCCAAAAAGATCGTTGTGGGCCTCGAGGGCGTGTGCTGGATGGTCTGCGGCCTGGGGGGCCCTCAACAACCGCTGGGCCCCACAAATGGGCCCCGTGTGCAGGTGCAGCATGTAACACTCCCCACTCCTTCTGAAGTCAAGCCGGGTCGATGGCGAAGGTGACGATCTGAAGGTGGAACCTGGACGAGGGTGCGACGTGGATCTGAAGCGCGCGAGAACATCTGAAGTTGTTGCTTGCAGTTCCGCCGGGTCAACCAACGGTCAACTTTATGGGTGCAGTACGCAAAATGTACCAAGTATTCAGTCAGCCTGTTGCCGTAGCCTCGCTGGGAGATGATGTCGCCAACCTCTTGAAAACCGTCCATAAAGGGTGGGTCTTGCGATCGTCGCCCATGAAAGTCGTTATGTTCCGCTGGCGTGTAAAAAGCCAACTTGGAGCAGTGAAAGACCGGGTGGACGGGCAAGTGGGCGGGCACCTGAATGACAAATGAAGGTCATTTGGGTGTATCCCCAGCGGGTGCCACGATCGGCCAGGGCCCGATCCATTTCGGGAGGAGCTTGTGAGAGATATCTTGCTCGAGGCTGAATTCCGCAGCGGAGAGCCATACGAGATCGTCGATGCGAAATGGACAAGGACGACCCTGTCGATTGGCTTGTTGGCTCATGCATTGCTGCGTCTTTGCCATCTGGTCGCGTGCCTTGACAAGTAGCTCTTGCATCCGACGCAAGAAAAGAAGATGGTTGTCGCTCTTGGCCGCCCGTGGGATGATCGTGTCCAACGGAGAAGTGACCGGTGAACCGTGCTCGAACTCAAAGGGAGACATCCCGATAGCTGGATGAATGGACGAGTTGTATGCCAACTCGACATCCGACAACCGCTCAACCCAATCCTTTTGGTTGGGGCGGATGGGAGCGTAAAGGAGAACCTGTGCTGTATGATGTGCCCTCTCTGTTTGGCCCATCGGTTTGGGGGTGGCGAGCCGAACTCGGCTTGAGAGATGAGCCCCATCGTTTGATGAGCGCCAACCAAAAATCGGACATGAACCGAGTTTCATGGTCGCAAACGATTTCCTTGGGGTAACCCTTGGTTCGAATCCAAACGACGTAAAGAACCTCAACCAACTCCGGTGCCTTGGCATGATAGCGGCAAGGCAAAAACATGGCGAACTTGGTGAGTCGGTTGACCACCGTGAGAAGCACATCCACACCGGCCTTGTGCTTGGGGAACGGCCCGGTAATGTCCATGGCAATCACTTCCCTTCGGCGCAAGGGGACCGGTAATGTTCGCAACTCGCCGTACGAACGATGGTTGCGGGATTTGCAGCGTCGGCAAACCTCGCATGACTTGCAATAGCGTGTGACGTCGCCGAGAAGGTCGGGCCACCAAAAGCGCTCACAGAGTCGGCCAATCGTTCGCTTGACCAAAGTGTCTAGTGGCGGGAGCATCGTGGAACTCGCCAAGAAGWCGCGTACGCAAGTGAGGATTACTTGGCATGCAAAGAAGGTCCTTCTCCCGCGTGTTGACAAACAAGTACCCTCTTGGATCCGATAGTGAGAAGGCGCCGGATTAGGAGAGGAGCAATTCGCATACTTGTCGCGAAACTCGGGGTCGACTTGGTAGTCGTGGATGAAGCTGTCCCACAGGTCGTCGTCGATCTCGAAGGTCAAATAGACTGCAATACAATGATCCGGACACCGTGAAAGAGCATCCGCAAAACGGTTAGACTTCCCCGGAATGTGATCGGGAAAGAAGTCGAATTGGTCGATGAAAGCCATCGAACGGGCGATGGTGTTGTTGACCGTTTCTTGGGTCTTGTAGAAGACCAACGGATTGTTATCCGTCACCCATCGGAATTGGCTTTGACCAAGGAGAAAATGCCACCACCGCTTGAGCACGTGGACGAAGGCTAGGAGCTCCTTCTTTCGTGCATCATCGATTGAGTGCACGACCGACACTTTCTTGCTGAAGTACTCGACCGGGTGCCAGTGCACGCCATCGTGTTGTTTGAGGACGGTGCCAATGCCATAGCCGGATGCATCAGTAGTGACGCGCGTTGGCAATAGCGGGTTGTAAATGCGCAAGATCTCCGCGGATAATAATGCGGCTTTGAGGGCCAAAAATGAACCCCGCGCATCCTCACCGAAGTCGAACGGCCGATCCTCGCTTTGAAGCTTGGTTAAGTGGGCCGTGATCTTCGAGTATCCCTTGATAAAACGTTGGTAGTAGCTGGCAAGGCCAAGAAACGAACGGACATCTGTGACGTTCCGCGACTCCGGCCACTCTTGGATGGGTTGAATCTTGTCCGACAACAGACTGATGCCCTCCGGTGTGACAAAATGGCCCAAGTATTCCAGCTCTTGCCGGACAAATTTGCACTTGTTGCGGTTGACTTTGTACTTGGCGCAGTGGAGCGTCTCCAACACTCGTCGAAGGTGCTCCAGATGATCCTCCAAGGTCCTGCTATAGACGAGGATGTCGTCTAAGTAGCACGAACCAGTCCAACATCGCACGAAACTCATTGGTCATTGCCGCTTGAAAGGTCGTCGGGGCATTGGTGAGGCCAAAAGGCATGACCACCCCCTCAAAATGCTTGTACCGCGTCTTGAACGCGGTTTTACAGCGATCATTCGGGCGTATTGAAATCTGATGATAGCCAGACTTCAAATCCAACTTGGAAAAGTACTTTGGGCCGCCCAATCGCTCAAGGAGATCGTCAATACGAGGAAGAGGCCCCACATTCTTGACGGTTTGCCCGTTGAGCTTGCGGTATGCACAGTCCTAGATCCTTGTTCTTCTTCCGTACAAAGAGAACTGGTCCCCATATGGTGAGCTACTAGGGCGGATCCCACTCTTGTCCAACAAGTCGTTGAGTTGTGCGTGGAGGACCGTAAGCTCCTCCTCACTCATCCGATAGATGCAACGTTTCGGTGGCACGACACCGGCCTCAAGGATGATCTCATGAGAGATCAGCCGATCCGGCACCACACCGTTAGGTGACTCGAAGATGTCGGTAAACTCGTCAAGCAACCGCACCGCACGGGGGTCCGAAGACAAGTCCGTGGGTGAAGAGTCGACTACCGCAACGGTCCGTAGGAAACATAGGCCTCACCGGGCTGCTCGTAAGCACAAGTACCCTGGAATGACTTGGCCGCCACCACTTGGCACCGGACCGAAGGGCGCCGAAGAGGAATAGTACACGACACTTCGGCGCTGAGGGCATCCCAGACGGTAAGAATCCGCCGGTGGAAGCCAAGGCATTCCCAGAATGATATCGAAGTCTGTGTCCAAAATGTCGAACGTCACCGGTTCACATGCATGAGGTGTGAAATACACGGGGACGGCCTCGATGTAGCGGTCGAGCAGTTGATGTATCTTTCCGTCCACCAACTTGATCGTCGTCGGGTTTGCCTTCCTCCGAACTTGTGAGCCAATGCCAACCCTTTGCATAAAGACTTGGCTCATGAAATTGGGAGTCGCGTCGCTATCTAGCAAAGCGTTGCGGGACGCTTGCCCGGGTTGGATCCGGACATAAAGGAGTGGTGGGTTGTTGTCAGCGTACCGCTGCGTGCGAAACTCGCGGGCCACCTTGGTAACATACGCAAGGATGCCCCCCACCGCAACTTCGTTATCTGTCAATGAAGTTGGTGGTGCATAGAAGGATAGGTACGTGTGAAGATGAGCGCATAGTGTTGCGCATTGCGGTCTCGACAAGCGGCCCGTGGTAGGGAGAGGAAGCCATGCGAAATCCTTAGATGTGGTCGGGTCCAATACCTCTATGTTGAGCTCGCGCACCGAATCCCGTGAAGAACCACTTGAAGACGATAAGTCGTCACTGCCGGACGGAGTAGATACCGCACACGCGTCTTGTCCTTGAGCATAAGTACCCAGCGTAGGAACGAGCTGGGCAACATGGTCCTCATAAGAATATAAGATGGGAGGTCTATTGACTTTCACATGCGCCTTGGAACGAAGGGCAGTCGCCCGCGTAGCAACCGGTTCCGAAGGCGTCGAGAGTGTCGTCCACTCACTCCCGACGGTGCTCTATTTCCCGATTGTTTGCCCTTGCCTTTCAGAGGACAACCCACTATTTCGTGGAGATCGTTGTTGCACCACAAACAATAGCGGAATCTCGTGCGTAACTTGTATACGTGCTCCAAGAGACCATAGTGGTTCCATGGGTCTTGAGCTGCTGTGCCGGGCCCGGGTTTTGACGTGGTGTTTGTCTTCGATTTGTCGTGTCCTTGGCCTTTGCCGGGGCGGCCACCATCCCGGGCGGCTGCGAGTCTGTCCCCCTTATTGGCAGACAAGGCCTCGCTTGAAGGGTCAATCGGCGTTGCCACCACGACCACGACCACCTTTGGCCGATGATGTTCTCTACTAGGGCCTGCCGCAAACGAACGGGGAAGGTTCTTGGCCTCTGTGTTTGTGACAATAATATGTGCGGCCTTGTCGAAGAGCTCCGCTGTTGTAGTGAGAGTCTCTGCAACATGAGTCAATGCGTTGGATAGTGTCGGACACGACCTCGTAATGAAGTAGTGTTTGATGGCTGTAAAGCCTATGGGTACATCCGGCGTTAACGCCAAGCGTTGGAACTCGACAATCCAATCGCTGCTCGGCAACGTGCCTTGTTGGAAAGTCAGCAATTTGTTTATTGCTTTGATTTCCGACGGCTCTATTTGGAACCGCTTATGCCACGCCGCCTTCATATCATCCCAGCTGACCTTGGTATACAAGTCGGCAGCCACCACCCCGTACTTGGACAAGAGATTGTCCAACCACCACGTGGCCCCCCGATCGGGAGTACAAATACGTGTGTTTCTTCTCCTCGCTGGTGTGGTGGAGCTGTAACTTGATCTCAAACTTGCGGAACCACGGAATTGGGTCTGTCTTCGTAGAGTCGCAAAAGATCTCCTGGCCATCGAACTTCGGAGTCGTTTCGCGTGGTGATGTGCTCGAGTTAGCGGCGGCAGCGCAGATCCGCTGCTCAAGTTGTTGAGTTGCGGTTTGCTGTCCGCGCCGTTCTTGAGTGCTCCAACGTCGACTTCCAATGCATCAAGGCGATCAGAAGTGTTGGAGGAGCTGGCTACAGGGGTGGCGACGGGTCGTTGCTCCAGCTGCTGAAGCGGCTGCTGACTCGCTTGACCTCGTAGTCGAGCGAATGGATGTCCTCCTGTTGTGCAATGCGCGTCGCTAGGAGGTCCATGACGTGGGAGAGTAACAGCGCGATCTGGAGTTCGTTGTTGCCCAGCTGACCACCCTCGGCCTCGGACCGCCATTCCGCTGCCATGTTGAGCAAGGCTCGCTCTCCTCCGAATATCTTCTCGCGTCGCATGTTGCATTCCTCGTCGGCAGCCTTTGCTGCTGCCTCGTCGTGCTGGCGCTTCTGTTCGATCGCCAGCAGGCGTGCTTTCTCTACATCCCCGTCCTTCTTCTTCTCTGCGGCCGCTACCGCATCCGACCGTTGTTTGGCCTCATTGATCAAGGTCTGCATTCGGGCCTGATAGGCCTCGGCCGTTTCCCCTGGCTTCTGGTCCATGACGGCTGTTTGAGAGCGCGTGAGCATACACCAGGCCGGAGGACTGCTGACGTGGCACTCCCTGCTGCTGGCGTGGCACGGCTGTTGGCTGACATGTCGCTGATGTGTCACTGTTGACATGGCCTGCTGACGTGGCCTGCTGACATGGTCTGCTGACATGGCCTGCTGACGTGGTCTGCTGACGTGGTCTGCTGACATGGCCTGCTGACGTGGTCTGCTGACAGTCCCTATCTCCCTACTTGGCGCTCGGCGCCCAGCCTACTCCCTACACAGCTACTACTACTGGCCTACTAATTGACAATGCAACTGTTGACATCAGCAGCCTCCGAAGTACTTGAAGATGTCGCCCATGCAGACCATCGCCAATACCAGGTATATGCCCTCACATCATCATCATCATCATCATCCTTCTCTCTCTCCCTTATCTCTCTCCCACATCTTCCCTTTTGTACACCCGAAGACCACCCCTGCGCCTCACTGTACATCCAAGCCCTCAGCCAGCTATAGAGGCTGGGCTATGGCGCTGCCCTCAGCAGTGCCCTCCTCCTTGCACGACCGCACGTGCTTGCACCTCGCCTCTCAGCGCTAGCAGCAGCCTACGAGCTTCAGCTCCAGCAGCGCTGCCGCCAGCATGCGAGTGCCCGAATGCCTGGCCAGGCAGCGAGCTCTTTCCTATATGGAAAGAGCCTGCCTCATTCGGCAGCCTGGCTGGCCTGGCCTGGCCCCAAAAGCTTCCGGTAGGCCCCAGGATGCTGCACCTCTCTTGCAGCTACTGGGCCTCATTCGGTTGGGCCTCCCAACTGTCTGTGTATGAGGCTGCCATTCTCGTCCAGGGCCTGCATCATTTTGGAAAGGCCTGGAAGGCCGTCGAAAGTCTCGCTGCTCGGCCTGTGTTTTCCACAACCAACTGGCGCGAGGAAACTGCCTGGACCCCAAATACGAAATTGACAGCCGAGGGCCTCTCGTAATTTGTTAGGCCCGCCTTCACTTAGGGCGGGCACAGATGCAACAGGGGGCCCTTAGGCCTGCCGAGGACCCAGATCCCGCACATTGTTATTATTATTAATATTGGAAGAAGAATAAGATTGGCGAAGTGAAGGAGGTGGAGGGAGGTGGAGAGAGAAGGGGGATTTGTCATTGGTTTTGCTGGTGTACATCTTATTCTTCTTCTTCTTTCTCTCTTCTTTGGTCTCTTATCTCTTTGCAAGTGCTTTCATTTCTTTCGCAATTGGGTGGCATTGTCTTTCATTGTGAATTTGCACTTTGGGAATGACGAGGATGGTAACACAGCTTAAAAGTGAAAACTTTTTTTTCAATTTACATGGACAAAAGAGGACAACACTTCAGGTGCAAACTTCAATGTTTAAATTTCCCTGCCTGCAGGTATATCCTACAGTTGGTATTGCTCCGTCATTCCTCATGGTATTCCTTGCTTTTTGGGAAACTTCACCGCAGACACAGCAGCGCCAAAACTGGTCATCCCGCGCCTCGATGTGCTGGCATACCCCGCACCGAACATTCGCTATAAATTCATGTGCACTGTGACACGAGGCTTGTGTGACGGAGAAGGTGGCTGCGATCGGGACCACGACTCCGTCATTGTCACCCCGATCAAGTTGGGCGATTTAGAGGCCAGTCAAATTCCAGTGGTGGCGATCCAACGAATGTGCCATGGGCTTTGCCCCAGGTGATTATGACGACCTTCATTGACTCCCCCCCCCCCCCCCCTCTTCACTGCTAACACATGCAAATGGGCTTCTGATTAACTTGAAATTCGACAGAGGATAAACCAAAGTGCAAGGAAAATAAGCAAGAGCCACAGACAGAAAACCAAATGGCACTATCACACTAAAGACCAGATAGTCATGTACCAAGCAGAAAGCACAATGCACCGAGATACAAGCCAAATAAGAGCAACACAATGAACTCAAATGTCAATGTCAGCCCTCTCTCGCCACCACCAACATGGTATCCAATTGAACCGACATGCATTTTGATGAGCGGTCATAGCCTCGGCTCCACCCACAATGCAATGCAGTGCCACCTCCGCCAAAATGCCGCATCAGCATGCCCTCATCATTCCACATGCATCTGCTGTCGCCACAGCCTACCCGTGAGGGTCTCCAATCTGCCAGCGTCAAAGTATCCTTACTGCGGACAAGATTTCTCAGCGCACCAAGTAACCAAGAAGCCAGCGCCAGTAGGGTAATGGCTGAGACTCTGAACCAGATCTGATACCAAATTGCAAGGAAAATGAGAGAGAGCGATAGACAGAAAACCAATTGCAATATCACGCTGAAGACCAAATAGTCGTGTACCAAGCAGAAAGCACAATGCACCGAGATACAAAGCCAAATAAGAGCAATACAATGAACTCAAACGTCAATGCCGGCCCTCTCTAGCCACCACCAACATAGTATCCAGTGTCGCCCTTCTAGATTGGCCCTCAGCTCCCAGCCTATCCTACTCAGCACCTACTCTAGCCTACGCTACAATCTGCAACAGGAGTCACTTCAAGCTGAACACCAATGTGCGTGACGAAGTCGCCAATGCAGACTGCCGCATACACTAGGTACGTGCCTCTCCTCAATCTCAAACTCATCCCTCACCTCTCCCACAATGTGCACCATCACACCCGAAGACCACGATCGCCCACACCAGCCTGCGCTCATTCAGCCAGGCTGTGGCCATCGTGTGCCCACTGCCTCTGCAGTGCCCTACACCACCGTGCGCCGGCATGCGCCCTCCAGCCTGACTGCCTAGCGGCCTCCCAGCACTATGATCCAGCAGCGCTGCCGCGTAGAGCTCACAGGCAGAATGTGCTCTGGCCTGAGCACTCACTTTCCTATATGGAAAGTGAGATCTGCTTCCCTGCGCCCTGGACCTGGTGAGCTCATGCCCAGTAGCCTGGCGTCGCGCCAAAGTGTCTGCACTCAGGCCCAATGCAGACAGTGGCCTGGGCCCACAACAGTTGAGCGCCCCAACTGTGCAACGTTGCCAGTGCGACATACTGCCTTCCCATTGGCCGAAAGGCCTCTGGCGACGTCGCAGCTAGGAAGAGCCCAGAGGCTCGAAATGTCGCACTCACACTGGCATGGCTTTGAAACCAACTGGCGCGTGGTAACTGTCTGGCGCCCCGACATGCAGAAATGAGGAAAATAGGGCCTCATATTGAAATGCTGGCCCACCTTCACTTAGGGCGGGCACGAGGTTGCTGGGGGGCCCCTCGTCTGTTGGGTGCTGCGGCTGAACAATTGTGCACCCGGGAGAGAGAGAGGCGATGGCGATGGCGGCCCGTGGAGAACCGTACACCGGGAGGTCCGAAGGCGGCAGTCCTTCACGCGTCGATGCAAGGTGGTCGCCTGCGAAGTTGGTCGTCCAGTCACCCACCATTCACCGACAACCGCAGAGCACCGACCGGCCGATCTGCCACGGCCGAACCCTTCCCCGTCCCCGGTAGGACCCGGTAGTGTTTCCACAACGCGGCCGCTGTCCAGGAACGACCACGGGCCCGCCAATGTCCGAGCAGGACCGAAAAAAAAATTACAAAATCGTTTTCTTTTCGGGACACTGAATCCATGCCGAGCCTCTTGGGACTCCCGACAACTTCGGGAACTGGCAAAACATCGTAATTTCCCAACACTGGCGGAGGTACTAGTGGTTTAATGAGATCTAGGCAAGGGTTCACAAAGTTTCGGATTTCAAAAATACGATCTTGGAAAAAAAAAAAAGTTTGCGCGAAATAGACTGGAGGTTCCACTTTCAGAGAAGATAGATCCAGTCCGAGAATATGACAACATCCCTAGTTTACCTAATATGCCCAGAGTAAAACTGAAAACGAAATGCTAATATCCGAAGTTGCAAAAAAGAGAATTTTTTTTCTGCAGAGATTTGACGAAGTCCTACTTGAATCACTAATAAACAATCAATCAATCATTCAACAATCAGTCGATCAAGCAAGCTGGCTTCTTGATTGGGCGGATCCTCTGATTGAGAGGTCTGTTCCGATACCAAACTGTCGCATACCGTAAAGGTGCAGACCAGAACGAGAACCGACCTCGGTCACATAGTACAAGATAGTGCAGCGGAAGGCTAAAATACCAATGACCAGCCCAATCAATGTCGCAATGCAGGCCCTACATACATCATCATCATCACATGGTGTGAAGGGGCCTGGCGCTCACACTGGAGGAATGTGCCAATCCCCAAGCATACACAGACGAAGAGGAGGGGGATTAGACGAAGAAGAGGGGGAAGATGGGAATGTCGTCAACACCAAGTTTTTGGTACAGGTCCCAAATAATCCCTTGTCCAATGTCTCAACCCCAATGTCGAGTCTGAACCCAAATGTCGTCAAGTCCCAAAGTCACCAATCTCTCTCTCTCTCTCTCTCTCAGTCTGCAGACACTGAGAAGTCAGGTAGCAAGAGGGTGAGGGAGAGATTGTGGACTTAGAAGAGGAAGAAGAAGGACTCTCTCTCTCTCTCTCTCTCTCTCTCTCTCTCTCTCTCTCTCTCTCTCTCTCTCTCTCTCTCTCTCT